TCTTAATTCATGATGGATGGTGTGTGCATTCACGCCTACTTTAAAGGATTATTATTCCCAAGGTACGTTAAATGTGTTTGGTGTCATATTATAATTTAAGTTGAGATAAATTATAATATTTTATAAACTTGAGATCAAACGTATTAGTTTTAGGAGACCCGTCTAAGGTACGTTAGACTTGTGCGGCGTTGGCTTAAAACTTTAGTTTTTTTTTTTTTTTTAAAGTCTGATTTGTTTGAATTCGAATTTATTGGACGATTTTTTCATAAATTTTTTGAAACAAAATAACTTTTATCAGCACCAATAAAAATTTTAAAAATAAGGCTTATCTGAGGATTTTTAAGGAAAAATTGACTTTTTCGAAAACATTCAAAATGGTTCGAATAGTTTTTTTAATTCTGATTTTTTCATTTTATTTTTCAAATTTTTGTTTCATACCTAAAAAAGTTAACTCTAAACAAGCTTATCGTCCGATTGATTTATTTTTAAGATGAAATTGATCAATGGGCCAAAATCCAAATTAGGAGGATCTTGATAAATAAATAAAATATTATTTTACCTAATTTAGTGATTTTTTTGATGATATGATGAATCATAACCATTAAATTAATATGAAATCTACAATAAATCTATTGTCAAGAAATGATAAAGTCACTAAAGAAGATTAAGCAATACAATAAAATTCAAACGCAATTTAAAAAATTATAACTTAAATACACATCATTCCTTAGATAAATATATCTTATTAATTTTTTTAATAGATTCCACTCATTCTATACTAATCTAAAAAATTATATTTATTTAAATTTTAATTTTTGAGTTATGTAATATTTTTCGATAAAAAGAATGGAACATTGCTCTCTAAAAAAGACGTAAAAATAATAGAGTAGAGAGACACGTGGCTCGTTGGGCGTGGAACTCTGAATGTCGGAAGCCTTGCACCGGCAGGTTTTTTTGTCGATTGTCAAACTCAGAAGTAATCAATAATGGGACGACACGTTTTAATGATCACTCCAAACTAAGTTGGGTCTGAGAGCATTTATTTATTTATTTTTTTGGGTTTTAAGAGGCCGGTGTTTTTTTTAGAAATTATAAGGTAAAAAGTAATATTTTTAAAAATATAGGTCAAAAAATACATAATCCTTAACAAATCTCTAAAATATCCCCTTCAGTAAAATGAAAATCAATTCCTATATTTTTGCCTCAACAACCGAAATATCAAAAATATCAACTGTTATTCATAAAACTCTTTCATATCGCTGAAACCCCTATTATTCCAAAATTGATAAGAAAACTTTCCTAAAACCTCCATTTTTTTCAAAACGTCTTAATTTCAATGGATCGACACGATTTTTTTTATTGAAAAACTAACTCTCGATCGAAGTATCAACATAGTCAAAATCCTTTTGTTTCTTATCAAGAGGACTCAACGAAATTGCAAAACTCTCTAAAGACTTGAAGCACAAGATTTCAAATATTTTTAATGTTGAGGTGGACCGCAAAAGAGGATCGTGAATTGTAGAAACCACCATGAATCTGTACATAAAAAATGAGGATTCTGAGAGAATTCATCTTCTTTAAGGCTTGCAGACCAAGGAGGCAACGTTTAAGAGGTATAATGATTGTTTGAAAAATTTTTAATCACACCCCTATTAGTTTACTATATCTTTAAGAATACTCTTTCTATTATCAAAAACATCACTGACACCCCTTCTAGTGTGATATTGACTTGTATCAGTGTGACATTGGTTTGTTGCATTGAAACATTGTTGTGTATCACTATGTCAATGCAATATGTACCACTGTATTAAATTTAAATTTAAAATATTCATAAAAAAAAATATTCGTAACAATCAATAGTATCATATAAGTTGAAAAAATATATTCCTCATTACGATTTATAAAAAAAAATTAAAAAAATTATATAAATGTAGGGAAGACATAAATAAAAAAAATTATATAAATGTAGTATGACTTTTTAAATGGTAACAACGTGAATTTTGGATGGTAACAGTGTGTCATTGCTGGTACCATTGTCATTAGAAGATATCACTGTGACATTTTGGTTTATAGTATGATAACATTGATTGGCGGGAGGGTGTCATTGACAAATATTTTTGATTTGAATGATAGAAGAATAAATATAGAATGAATGTTTTAATAAACAGTTGTTCAATTATAGATGAATATATAATTTAAAATTTAAAAAAGATATACCATAAAATTAGGATAATGAATCCTTATTTAACTGTCATATTTGTCTCCCATTAATAATGAAAAAGAACAATTTATTAAGAGAAAAAATTATAATTCAGCAAAAGTATATCTTTTCACCAAATATTTTCACATAAAAGTACTTATACACATATTTTATATTTAGGTACTTTTACACAAATAAATATGAAAGAGCGTACCTTTTCACAATTTTTCCTCTTTTTTTTGCCAATAAACTCCCACTTGTCTGGGTTTTTTTTTTTTTTTTTTCGGGTAAATTTTACCCACACTTCCTGACATTCAATTTTATTATATGGACACCCTTTTATATTTTAAATATTATACAAAACTCCCTTGATATTTAAAATTTGTAACCGACACACCTCCTACAACTAAGCAGATATATTAGAATGGTTAATACTCAAAGTTGATGTCGATAATAATGCTTAAAATACTAAAAATACCCTCCAAAATAAAGTTTAAAAATTCCAATATATGTTCTTCTTACTCTAAACATTTATCCCACCTCTCAATTATCATTATTTTATTATATATTTCATCTATAGATTAAAATTTTGACAATTAAATGTTTAATTTCATAATCTATGAAATTAATAATTTAAATATTCAATTTTTTGTTTATGAAATAATATTTGGGATTACTAGTACAACTTTCAAATTATTTTTACATCTTGATAATTACATTTTCAATTATCCCATATTAATTTTATTTTTGTTAATTATTTATCAAATTAAATAAATTCTTCCTCTTGCCACCCATTATAACCAGTTCTACCATCCAAATCCACCACCTACACAATTTTCTAAACCCAATCGGAATAGGTAATCGACCCTTAGCACCTCAAACCAGAGAGAGAGAGAGAGAGATCAAAACCACCTATAAACTCATCCCATAACACACCTCCATCACAAACACAACTGAAAATTGTCACCTAGACCAAAATCATCATCAACCACGTAGTATTGATGATGTGTTTTATCAACTAGTGATAGAATACGAAGTGAATTTAGTGAGCTATATTATTTTACTAACTATCAAAAACTACTGTGCTATGTTAGAATAGTGGAGTTCACAAATTGTATTTTTTGTTTTATAATTAGTTGATGACACCATTTTATAATAATGACATAGTGTCACCGTTACACCTGAAATTTACTCATAGAGAAGAGTTCAGCGTTTGAGGAAGAAGGTGTCTGGGTCATGGGCATGGGTCTTGAGTGATGGACCCAGGCATGGATGGTGGTTTGGCCAATTAAATTGAGGATAAAATGGTTTTTCTGTTAATGCCGATAACAATGTCCATTTAATGAGGTCTTAATGTTATTTTTAAAATATGAGGGAGTGTTTGTATAATAAAACCAAATGTCAGGCATATTTTTTTTTTTAATTATGGAAAGTTAGAAACTAATTTGATTTGACTTATTAATCTAGTCAATTATAGTTATTGAATTAATAATATGGTCTAATATTACCATAAAAAAAACATACTGTTTAATTTTCCTTCAAAGTCGTGTGGAATTTATGAAATGCCAGCATGATTCAAACTTTATTAAATGGAAATGTTGTTGAAGGTTGAACTTAACCAAAACAATGGCTTTTGACATCATAAGAGGCTTTGAAGATTGGATACTTCATAACGCACTTACTATGTGGAAACAAATAAGTAAAACCCACATTTTCTCTGCCCCCATAAACATCTTTAGCCTAAGTTTGAATTAGTCAAAACATTTTTGTTTATGTATACATGTTTAATTTTATCTATATTCAACCATATACACCAAATATTCATTGAAATCTATGAATTTTAAACGGTACGAAGAACGATTTAATTTATCAAAAATTTATTATCAAATTTTTATATAACCAAAAACTGTCTTAATCACGTATCTTTTAAACTTAAATGCCCAATATAAACTTGTGTACTTACAATCATTGATGTATATACATTGCATCTCTTGAGCTCTAAAAAGAACAATGCACATCCAACCCACCCCAAATACACTGTAATGTAAATTCCATAACCTCAAGTCCCCCCACCCCCCAACCCCCAAAAATCCCATTCATAGTACAAAATCAAGACAACCATCTTCCCAACAAAGACCCAAAAACACTGAAATATGACTATGACTTCAAGTTTCATTCTTCCCTCTCATTAATTGTTTCTAAACTAAACCCACCAATCACATCAAGGGCAATTTCATCAATTCAAAAGATACATTGTTACACGTACTTTGGATATTTGTTTGGAACGGTCACACTACGTGAATATTATTATTTAATATTAAATAAATAAATGGATAAGCTGACCTCACTTTTCAATTTTTTAAAAAGAAGTGGTAATATATCTCATATGGAGGAATAAATATTTGAATCAATGGGGTCTATTTTTAATTTAATAAATTTTTATTAAATAATTATATTACATGATAATACCGAATTATTATAAATGTTGCCTCCAATATTTTCCGGTGAAAAAGAGACCATTCTATAAATACGTACATACGTATTTTCTCTACAAGTAGAAGACAAGTTCACAATATAACGCCAGATGAATCTCTAGCAGAGCCTCCGTTCGCCTTAGATTTCGCTTTCTGGTAAATCTTCACAGAGAGAGAGAGAGGACCGTCAGGAGAGAAAACAAACAAAAACAAAGCAACGGTTCTTCTTAATAGAAACCTCCATCTCCATCTTTTTTTGTCCCATGAATTCGCTTTTTTCTATTTAAATTTTCCCATAATTTTCTCTCCTCTCTCTTTCAGTCACTATGTCAACCGGTGGCACCACCACCACTAAATCCGCCAGCGGTAGTCCCGGACATGGTGGTCCCATCACCCACCGACGCCGCGTTCCAGATTCCATGACAGACGCCGAGAAAGCGTGTGATCACGTTTCATGCCCATCTGATCACACCAGTGACGTCGACGACGATGATATATACAGCAACAATGACGGTGGACACGGTGGTTGGCATTACCATCACCACCACCAACACCACCCGGCAATACGGTACATGTTGGTACGTAAGAGGGTACCAGAAACGTGGGTTTTGGGCGTAGAAGACTTTTTGTTTAGAGTCTTTACAGTATTGAATTGTTGCAAATCAAGGACGAATATGGGGCGTGTGGTATTTGGGTTGTTAATGGTGATGTTGGTGGTCTCTGTTTTTTCGAAGTTCTATCTGATGGGTAATCATGTAGAGGAGGTGCATGGGAAGATTAGGACAGAGAAGGGGGTGTTGATGCTTCAAGCGTTTAAGGATGATTGGTCTAATGCTCAGAATATTTTGTCTGAGGTATCTTCGGGTGATGTGATTCCAAACCATCGATTAATGAAGGAGTTCCCTGTAAGTGTAATCTGTTCGATAAATTTTGTGTTGATTCTAAAGTTTTTAAAACCATCTTGTTCGATTGTTAAGAAAGCACAGGAAAACAGAAAGAAAATGATTTCTATATATCATTGGTTTTCTCATTTCTGGGTCTTCCTGAGCCTAATCCTGGCGTTAGATGCAACTGAATGAAGATTGTAGTTATTACTCTTTCTTATAATCCAAACTATCGAACTTCAAATTTTCTGTTATTTTCCTGCGTTTTCTCAGCAACCAATCAATTGCAGGATAGGAGATTTTCTGGATGTACTTTTTTCCAGTAATTACAAAGCTAATGAAATTAAAATTGTAATTGCTTGTTTTAACCACTCCTTTTTGTTGGGGTGTAAAAGTTTCTGAATTTTATTACAAATACCCTTTTGTCTAATTTATTATTTTTTGGAATGCGATTTAGAAAACTGGTTTTAGTCTTGTCGGATATGGAACGGCTGGTATTTTCTGAGCCAAGAGAGAGAGAGAGTAGTGGACGGCACCAAACATTTCATTGAATTTGACGAGGTGTATTAGACCCAACTAGCAATTTCACTGTGAAAGGTGGCTTTCTAATGATTAGTTGACCGTTATGGTCTTGTGTGCCTTTTGTTTTTTACAACTTTTGGACAGTTCTAAATGCACTTTTCTTTGATTCTATGCACAGGTGTGTGTTTTGACGGTGGAAAATAGAGTCCCACCTCCTAACATTTTTGCTGTTCTTTTTTATTTTTTTGGAAGAATTTTGGGATGTTCTTGAGTTTATTTTGTTTCATAGCTCAAAATTTGATTGGCTATTCTATTTTTCGCCTTGATTTTCTAGGATCCGAATCCTCTGCTGTTCCTCAAAACGACATTATTTCACACCAAAACGATAGTGTGAAACAATGTCGTTGTGAAAAACACCACCTCTGGTGTATAACCGAGGATCCAGACTTAATTTCTAGTTTGCTTATATGTTTTTTAAGTGATTTTTGTCGAAAACTCTTATTGTTCTGATTGTAAGTTTACATTTTTAATTGTTTAAAGTTGGGTTATACTCTGCTAATTATGCCGAGGAACGAATTACTTTTTTTGTTCTCCAAGCTGTACCGAGGTTTATCTCAGATTTGGAAACAACTACTTAAGCTAGTTTGGTAGAGCATTCTTAGTACTTTTTGATCAGTTACAATTATTAAGTTACATTCTGATTTCTGAGAAGGACTACAAGTTTCCAGTGAGCTTAGTAATTTCTATGTTGGTTTCTTTTTTCTCAGGTCCCTGAGATTTGGATGAAGCCAAATAGCGATAGTTACTATCAATGCATTGCTCGACCAAGGAATCGAATAAGTATGTCCAAGCATTTACATGTCTGCATTCATCAAAACACCAGTGCACAAAATCAAATTTTAAATAGATTCTTGATTGAACTGCTTGCAGGGACGGGTTCAGCGACGAATGGTTACGTTATGATTCATGCCAATGGTGGATTGAATCAAATGAGAACCGGAGTAAGTTTTAAACCAACAACATACTTTAGTTTCTAAATACTTACCCACGGTTTCAACAGATAATTATTTTCTGCTCATTCCATGCCTTGATTGAACTGCAGATATGTGATATGGTTGCTATTGCAAAAATTATGAATGCCACCTTGATTCTCCCTTCTCTTGATCACCGGTCCTTTTGGACTGATCCTAGGTATGATTTTTTAGTCCGAGTGATTAGCAGAAACTATGTCTGGTTTGGTTTTTTGGTTTTCTGTAAGACTTTTCTGCTACTTTTGCAGTGATTTTAAAGATATTTTTGATTGGAAGCACTTCATTGAAGTTTTAAAAGATGATATTGAGATAATCGAGTCCTTGCCAGCACAATTTGCAACAAAGAAGCCTTTTCGTAAGGCCCCTGTATCTTGGTCGAAGGTGTGGAAGCAATATGAACTTCTAATGTTCTTTATGATTCATTGTAGTTTTTTTAGTATTGGAACTGTATCTTAGATGCTTCACATGCAGGCTGGTTACTACAGAGGGGAGATTGTTTCGTTGTTAAGGAAGCATAAGGTGATTAAATTTACCCATACTGATTCACGACTTGCTAACAATGGCCTCGCAGTCTCTATCCAGAGGCTTAGATGTCGTGCCAACTATGAGGCTCTTCGATACACAAATGAGATAGAGGAGCTTGGGAAGATATTGATCGATAGACTTAGGAGAGATGGTGAGCCATATATTGCTCTTCATTTAAGGTAATTATCCAACATATCATAAATAGTAAGTCAATTATATGCCATGGAGAGACTCAAATGACTTGTCTTGAAAGCAGATATGAGAAAGATATGCTTGCATTCACTGGCTGCAGCCACAATCTTACCACAGCAGAGGCTGAGGAACTTCGTAAAATGAGGTACAGTGTCAACCACTGGAAGGAGAAAGAGATAGATAGCGAAGAACGACGACTTCAAGGGGGATGCCCAATGTCTCCCCGGGAGACAGCTCTATTCCTAAAAGCCATGGGGTATCCTCCATCTACGACAGTATACATAGTTGCAGGAGAAATTTACGGTAATAACAGCATGAACGCATTTCGTTCAGAGTTTCGAAATGTTTTCTCCCACTCCACTCTTGCAACAGAGGAAGAGTTGGAGCCTTTCAAGCGTTATCAGAATCGCCTTGCAGCCTTGGATTATATTGTAGCCCTCGAAAGTGATGTCTTTGTTTATACATATGATGGTAATATGGCAAAGGCAGTGCAGGGGCATAGGAGGTTTGAAGGATTTCGAAAAACCATCAACCCTGACAGGTTTATATTGCTTCTCTCTGACCCTTTAACCATCTAGTTTTTAGTAATGTCATTAGTAACCATTTAGTTTTTTTTTTTTCTATTTCAGATTGAATTTTGTTAGACTGGTCGATTTATTGGATGAAGGCGCTATTTCTTGGGAAGACTATACCACAGAGGTGAAGAGGCTACACTCCAACAGAATTGGAGAACCATACCTCAGAGAAGCAGGGGAAACACCAAGACTAGAGGAGAACTTTTATGCAAATCCCTATCCTGGTTGTATTTGTAATAGATCTCAGGGGCAAATTAGTAGCCTGCAACTTGACCGGAGACCAAGTCCAAGGGCGGCCTCCCAACGATAGGGTGGTTATGTGACTGCAGTGTCAAAGTACACAATACTCATGCAGTGCTCCAAAGGTGGCTAATAAGGTTTTTAGACAGAAACTGCTTTGTCACGTGTTCAGGAGGCCATAGCACCGTACAGTGGCATGGAGAGGTCTCGAATGATTTTGCAGATTCAACTTCCAGTTTTGATGTACAAATACACAAATGAAGATACCATGAGGAAGCAGAGAAGGAGTTCTACACATAATTGATCACACAAGAGAGATCAGTCACCAGGCGTAATCGTTGTAAAATGTGGCATACAGATTTTTAGTTTCATTTATTCCATAGACAATTTCCAAATCAGGCTCATTGCCGATAAATAACAGCTGTTCAAGATTATCATAGAATTTCTTTTTACATTTCCGGAGATTTGTGTTTTGTTTGTGTTTCATTCATTTACACATCAAAAGCAGGCTATCAATCAAAAAAAGTTTATTGATGGGGCGAGCTACATTGTACCAACACACCTGAGCACTGGATGGTTACTGATATTAGGTAAGTTAAACCCTGTTTCAAAGGCGGGAGATCAATGCTTTAAAACAACCTGTTTCTCTTCGTTTCTTTTCAGTTGCATCCAGTTTACAAATGGAGCATTTTCGGTTGCCATACAAGATGCTCCATTTGATTGCTTTGTATGAAAACACAAAATAAATCATTCATTTTTGTGCTTCCTTCTTGTCCATTGTCCTCTTCGCTCTTAATTAGACATATCCAGCATCTTTCTGTCAGATGAAAGGGGAATGAATTAGGCTGCAAGACTAGTTTTTTTTTTGCTTGTGAAAAAAGGTGGTTAGGGGCAACTTAACCTTGCTGCTCAAATGTGAGAGAGAGAACCCGTAGCCAACTAGAAGAAGAATGGTATACAATCTATCTTGAATTAGTCACCTACAAAATAATTGACATCATTATCAAATAGCTGCATACTAATCAGTTATCAATCAACACCACAAGACACGGCATTTTTGCAACTCCTCTCTCCATCACAAACTCGCACCCACCTTAATCAGATGTGAAGTTTCCAAACCTCTAGGGGAACATAAAGCATACCGTGTTACTGATGAGAACTTCAATATTGTTGGGACTTGGCTTTGGTCATACCCAATCTACCACATTGATGGCACATAAACCTGTTCCTTCAGATTTTGTGTAGCACTTTCTGTAGGAAAACCTCTTACTGCACCTATTGTCCACTGTGATATTATTCCTGCTGCAATTGCAAAGCGAAGCTGCCTCTCCAAAATATCTTGGTTCTCATACATCTTAGGTTCAGTTGTTAGCTTTCTCATGATTCCAGCTACTATAGCATCACCAGAACCTGTTCTGTCACAAGTAAATGGGGTTATAAGCACATCCTCTGTTCCAACCACCACTCCATCAAATGAAGGGGCATAATAATGAATCCGGAGTGTTCCATCCGTAATAAACAAAAATTTTAAACCATCATGCCACAGAGGAGATATTTCCTCACGCGTATAATGATAATAATCTCGCCGCCTCTTGGTTTGCTCATAATCTTCAGCATAGTATTGAGGCCTATAATTTCTTCTCTTTTCATAATATTCTTCATCTAAAAGAAATTCTAGCTCCTGCTTTGTGACCTCAATGATGTCTGCTTGCCCCATGCTTGCTTGATCACTTCTTTCGTCTCATCACGTGACTTCCACAATGGTAATGGCAGATTTAAGTCAAAAAATATAAGGCCACCAAACTTTTTAGACCATGAAATTGCTTTGAAAAGGGCAGAATGCATAGCGGGAGATGTAAGGACTTCTGAATTAAAATGGAACATTCTAGCCTGCAACAGAATCAAGAAGACAAACACATGCAATCTGTTATAAGTCTCATTTCAACAGAGTTATATGCACAAGAATATCATTTACTCTCACCATGGGGTACACATATCTCACTGCTTCATAAGTTAAGAAATAATATGCCGAAACAATGCTGTAACATGATTCACTGGCAAATTTTCTGCTTCTTTAAGCTCTTGAACAACTAACTTATAGTTACCATACTTGAAACTGTTTGAAGGCTGAGGTATGTCACATAATCTTCCAACACTAAGGTCGTATGGTAACAGTTTGCAAATGAATAACATCAAAAGTATCCCATCAAAAAGTACTTGTAACCAAATGAACTATAAGTATTTTCATTATTCCTCAGAAATTTGGCACTCCGTAATTTCATGAGCATAACACTATTTTTGAGTCTATTGCCAAATAGTGACCAATATGCAAAAGATGCACAACAATCTGTACAAAAAATTGAAGAAAGTCATAAGTTAACAGGCATCAATATATATAATATGGAACTTGAGATAACAAATAGATTGAAATAGGAAATTTCATAAACTGTTTGAGAAGCACATCAAGGTTCAAACAAAGCCCAGAAAGGAATCTATTTGAGGGTTAATATACGTATATACATTGATCCTCTTATCAAAGAATGCAAGACTTTTCAACATGTATAACATGGGTCTCATTCAAGTACTAAATTATACGCAGGGGGAAGGGTCTCAAAACTATCAATTGAAGAATTTCCCACCACATCATTATAACCTCAACATAACACCTTGTCAAATGACCATTATATATATAAACAACAGCAAAATTTAATACCGTAATGGCTAAAATTATATGTTTATCTACTCCACAAGAAAAAAATTAAAATGTGTGCAGTCAATAATCAGAAAGTGAATTTCAAATACCTCTTTGAGCACAGCAAGGTTCAATTCAGGGTCAAGCAACGAATCCTCTGCCGTCTCTTTAGTCTTCTCCACCCTTATCTTCCCATCGTCAAACTTAATCTTCATGTAAGCTTTCGCAGTCCTTGCATTACCATCAAATTTCACAGCCCTCGTTTGTACTTTCTCCTTATTCAACAACAAAACCAACTCTTCACCAAACTCATCATCCCCAACCTTCCCCATAAACGCGGCCCTCCCACCAAGCCTGACATGGGAAATGGCCACATTCGAGGGTGGTCCACCTGGTGCTCTCACGAACTCCGGCGGGTTCCACTGGAGCATTTTCCATTGTGAATATATATCTGGGTGCATTTGCTCTGGTGCCACTCTAACTGTTGGCACAAACTCTTTTTGAGCTGCCCCGAAACAGCATATCAAAGGGGGGTCTTCATATGGAAAATCAATACCATCGTCATGGTCCTCGGGTTCTTCCTCAATTGCGCTTGTTGCTGTTATCTCTTTTGTTGCGGTCTCTCTCGGTCCTGTTTTGTCATTTTGAGTTTGGGATTTTCGCGTGCGTCTTGGTTTTGTTGTTGTTGTTGTTGTTGTTGTTGAGGAGGAGGAGGAGAGGGTGTGGTTGGGGATTTTTTGCGGCCTCGGCGAGTGGCTTTTGGGGCTTCTGGAGTGGTGGTGTTGTCGCCATTAATGGAGGCTTTGGGTTGGTTTCTTTGGTGGAAACGTCGAGGTTTGGGTGCTGGACTGAACCAAATGGATGAAATTTTGAAGTGGCTAAGTGAGTTAAGGTATAGAGAGTGAGAGTGGTGAAGGTAATGATGGGGAAGAAGTGATGGAAGGAGGTGAAATGCTGCCATGGCTGTGAATGCTAGGGTTTATCCATTTTCCTCTATTTCTGCTCTATTCTTCTCAAATTGGTTGTTCATAAACTGATAACACCGGGTCGGATCCGAAAGCAGTGGCCTGTGTAATGAACGAATAAGCAATCTTGTATGAACTTAAATTAGACCTAAAAATTAGGTTTGATAATTATAACTATTAATTTTAGTGTGAATCTAATAGTTATTGGGATTTATTACTTATTCATTTGTTAGAATTATGAATGTTTAAATTTTTAACTGGCTGCAAGTTTCTACTCTATCTTACCCTATCGAACGGCTAATCACAAAAAATCGGATAGGAATGCGAAAAAATTTTTAGTTTTTCAATAATTTTTGAATAAGAATGCAAAATAGTCATATATTTTCGTCTTCTTACCTTACCCTACCAGCAATAATTTTTTAAAATATATATATATATATATATATATATATATATATATATATATATATATATATATATATATATATATATATATATATATATATATATATATATATATATAAACTAAAAAAACTCTAATCTACTGAGTCCTAATAGAGTTTGCGCCTCACACCTCACTTGGTCACTCCACTGCTCCTCTTTCATCGTTCCAAACTTTCCACCCAGGTTCTCTCTCTCTCTCTCTCTCTCTGGTGTGGTCTGACTTGGAAGGTCTGATCATTTACCTTCATCTATAGTAACAGATCGGTGCCGCTATGCGCGATTTGGTCATGAGTTTTAGATCAATGCGCGATCTGATCACGTCTGATCTGAGTTGCAGATCCATGGGTTTTTATCCTATGTTGCAGATCGTGATGGCCTGGTCTTTGTTCTTATGTTGTAGATCTGGTTGTTGCCATTTTGTTTGTGTATACTTACGAGTGAACCTAAATATAGCCTCTGCTTGAATGTTGTTTGCATATGTCTTTCTTTTTGAAGGGCAGACACCACTTCTCTCTCTCAAAAGTATTTCTTTTTCGATGGTGCTGGTATGGTGGGTGGTGTTTTGTTGGAATGGCCTTGGAACCAAGGCTAGTGATGATACACAAAACTAAATAAATGGGTTGTTTGTACTAGCAGTAACTTTAATTTTGGTTTGTTATTTTCATCGCAATATAGACTACTGTGATAAACCAACTACTGTTATTCATCGTAATATAGACTATACCTTTAATTTCGTTGCTTGGCTTCCTATCTAGTATATGTTAGTTAATCTGACTACTATGAGAAATTGTATGTTTTCAGAGATGAGGAGTTGTCTTGCTCTCAAATGTTTACTCGACTTCCTACCCGATTAATCGGGTAGGAAGTCGGGTAGGAATACCACACCTATGGGGTAGGGTAGACCAAGAAAAAACTCTTTCGCAAAGTATCGGGTAGGAAGACGAAAGAGCATATTTCCTACCTATAGGGTATGGTGAACACTCCTAGTTATAATTATTAAATTTAATTTTTAAATTAATCTAACATTAACCGAATTTACCCCCCAACTATTTGGTTCAGAGAGGACAATGCACTTACCAAAATGGACTTTCCATGACAATTTTTGCTTTTTTTAAGTAAACTACACAAATGGCTTTAAAACTTCATTTACCCATCAAACGAAACAAGATTTTATAGGTATGAAAGTGATTTAGGATTACGATTTAGGTTGATGGGTATAAGAAATGAGATTTTTTGTCTGATAGGTTTCGAACAAACAGTCTAAAATACATCTAATGTATTGTCTATATGGTGAATACGTAAGACATTTCGTCCAAAAATCTAATGACCACTAATATAAAAACTTATTGGTAAATTTTAGAATTTAGAGGTTCAATTGACATAAAAATTAGGTCAATGACTTAATTGCTAAAGTTTTAGTGTTCAGTAGTTCAATTGTCATGAAAATTATTTCAAAAACTCAATTGACATAAGGATCATAATTTAAAGGTCAATTTGTATTGTTTACTTTTCATTTTTGAAAAAATTGAAAGTTAGTACAAAAATTTGGACTTAATTGAGTTAAATACATTATAAAAATTTATTTGACCCTAAGGGCAGTTTTTTGAAAAAAAGACTAAAATATCATTTATTACTCTATTACTTTCTCTCTCTTCCATAATTTTTTTTTCAAATATGTAAAGATTTGATTTAATTTTTGCATATCTCTCTCCTCTATTTTTTACTCTCACACACACTTTCATTCTCCTTATTTTCCCTCACCGTTACTCTTTCTCTCTCTTTATATCAACGTTATAACAAACACAATTATTAATCAGTTACACCAATTAGTTACAATTACTCTTATAATAATATAAACAACTACTCATGTGTTCTAATAAATCAAACAGTTATACTAAACAATTATACGAAATTACAACACAAATCTAATTTGTCATTCAATTGTTTATATAAACCAAAGAGTTACACAATTTTTTGTATCATGACATGGTTAAAATAATTATATATAGTAAATTGGGTTTATCATTACACAAAAGGGTTTACAATTATACCAAATTTGACGTATACAATTGGTGTAACTATGTCGTGATACTAAATGGTACAATTTTTTGATTTATATAAACAACTGAATGACACATTGGGTTAGTGTCATAATTTCATACAACTATTTGATATAACTATTTGGATTTATTAGAACACATGAGTAATTGTTTGGTGTATTATAGGATAATTATAACTAATTTGTGTAACTGATTATTGTAATTGTATTGTTGTAATATTAATATAAAAAGAATGATGGAGAGAAAATAAGGAGAAAGAGAAATGATGAGAGAAAATAAGGGGGAGAGAGTGAGAGAGAAAATAGAGGGGAGAGAGAGATGAAAAAATAAAATCAAATCTTAAGAAAATAAATTATCAATAGGATATAAAGAGAAAATAGGGGAGAGACAGAGAAAGTAATGGAGAGAGAAAAAAATAGGGGAGAGATAGTAAGAGAGTAATGGAGAGAGAGGGAGAGAAAATAAGGGAGAGCGAGTGAAAGAATAAGAATTATGCATAATTTTGGGAAGAATAAGTACATAAAAAAAATCAAATATTATTTGAATTTTGTACCTAATTACAAGATGTTTTATTAAAATTTAACTTTATAAAATAAAATACTTATTCATACACTTTCTCTCAAATAAGTGTAAAAAAATATACCCACACTAAAAAAATCTCTCTTTTTTAATAAATTTTTGTTTGTTTTAAGAGAGACTGGTTGATTGCTAAGGTTTACACTTTACAGAGTTTAGGGATTAAATCTTAGATAAAAAGAAAGTTTAAACACATATAGGCGACATAAGACGAGAGTTATATGTTATGTTTAACCTTCTTAATTAAATCCGGGCTTTCCATAAGCCTTTCTATAAATCACAAGTCTTGGCAACAACATTGCTCAAGTAGTCATAACGGATGTTTGAATGTACGATAGAACGTAAAATTCGAGTCTCTAAAAAATTAATCTTACTATATTAAATAATAATTTTTCTTTCTTTCATTTCTTTGATTATATCATTTAAAATTTATTGACAAAATTGAACATCGATTGTGGACACAAAAAAATATTAACAAAATTTTCATAACATGTGTGTATTATCATGTATGGATATTTTATGAAATAAAATTATGTTAAACTAAAAATTAATCAAATATTAAACGATGAAACATGTGAAAAAAATGAGTGATGTGATGATTTTGAAAAAAAAAATATATAGGAGATAAAATTCAACTTTTTATATGTTTTATTATATAAATTGGTTGGGTTTGGGGTGCATTGTGTAATGAGTTTACTGGCTAGCTGTTGCTTGAACTTTGGACTTGCATGTTTGGAAATGTGAGGTGATCAACCTTGAAATAGAAGTATTCCATTCTTGGAAAAATTATGATAAATGAGAGACAACTCCAATTAGGATTCGCAACTTAAATTTACACTGCTTATTATTTTTGACATTTTTTACAATATTCTCAAGATTTTAGGAATGATCATTTCATATCCAATTGAACTAATTTTAGAACAAGGTTGAGCGATCATGTCCAAACTTAGCTCATAAATCCAACCATATTACTATGAGCTTGGACTAGCCAATTTTTGTTGTTCAATATCGACAATTACAGAACTACGTCTAGTTGAATTATCGAGTCATATGTTTATGTCACATCATTTTGTTTAATAACATTTATAATATCATACAAAATAGTAGTAATAATAATATCATGGGAGCCAATTATAGTAGGCAGGTGGCATTGACCTTATTCAATTTTGTCCGGCCATTCTTCCTAAATTTGAATTTCAAAAGAGTTGTTCTTTCCCCGCCCCCCCACAAATTAAACTAAATGAGACCGCTGATTTACTATCCGTTACAAAAAAAAGTGACAGCTCATTTCCACCCATTCAAAACCACCACCTAAAATTCAAACACCCAACCAAAACATTTGAACCGTTAGAGCCCGCTTTCTATAAATAAACATCCCTCTGTCCCTACAAACACACTTTCATTTTGATTTCTCATTGTTCTCTCTCTCTCTGTGAAAACCTTCTCATTGTTCCACAATATCTACCCAAAATGCGTGAAATTCTTCACATTCAAGGTGGCCAATGCGGCAACCAAATTGGTGCCAAATTCTGGGAAGTCGTTTGTGCTGAACATGGCATCGATTCCACCGGTCGATGTGACGGAGGTTCCGATCTCCAGCTCGAAAGAATCAATGTCTATTACAATGAAGCAGGTGGTGGGAGGTTTGTTCCCAGAGCTGTTCTCATGGACCTCGAACCTGGTACTATGGACAGCATTAGGTCCGGTCCTTATGGCCAGATTTTCCGACCGGATAACTTTGTATTTGGTCAATCGGGTGCCGGTAACAACTGGGCTAAAGGCCATTATACGGAAGGCGCTGAGTTGATCGATTCTGTGCTCGATGTCGTGAGAAAAGAAGCCGAGAATTGTGATTGCCTACAGGGTTTGTTCTCTCTCTCTCTCTCTCACGCTTATACAATGTCAAACAACCTTCT